GGTTGTGCAGGGAACTAATCCTGCAGTAGGCAGGCTGCCAGCATGAGCCACTGATACCCCGACTTCAGCAGCTGTAACTGCTGGGGGCTTAGAGGAGGTGCTGCAGTTCGTACCCTCTCACCCTGCTTTGCTCCAATCAGACAGGCTGGCAGGCTGGTTTTCATATGTATGCTTTTTAATATCATTGATTCTGTTACACTACACACAACCAGTAACAATGATAAATACTGCAATGGAAATGTTAAAAAAAATATTATACATGGTTCATGTTTTTGAAAAAAAAAAACAACCCACATTTTAAAATAAATTAATGCACAAAACTGATGGTAGAAAAAAAAAAACCCAAAACAAACCACAACACAACTGATCTGTTTAAGGCAATACTCTACGCAGACAGGAACAGAAGTACAAGAGTGTGCTACATGTTCTGAACAGGAAAAAAAAAAAAGAAAACCCATACAGGATGCAGACTGATGCTTCGGGAGTGAAAAAACTCCCCAAACCAGATAGTAAAACCAATGGCCAAGTTAAGTGCAGCATTAATACACTCTGCATGTCAAATGATTAGCAGGTTCCTAACATGGACTAAGGTCAAGCTACAACAAATTTATCTTCCTAATTAAAATGTTATTCAGGTCAAACCCTACATTTAACTCTACTTTGCATTTGGCTGTTTCAGCTATGTTTCACTATATGCAAGGACAGCTGGAAGTTCATCTCCTGCTCTTGAGATTAACACAAAGGTTGGGAGGTCTCTCCTCCTGAAAGGTATGTCCATTAACTACATCCAAAAAAGGATCTCACTTCTGGAGACCCTGACATGCCTCCCACCACCCCCTCCCCTGGGGTGCCAGGCACCGCGCGGGAAAAGGAGACCTCGGAAGCATCTGCTTAGTTGAGGTTTTTCCAAGCTGAGGACACAAAATGGAAGTGCAGGTTTGGTCGGGACTCGGAGGAGCACCGTTCCCCTGTCTGCCAGAAATGTCTGTCTGGAGCCTGCTGAAAGCACCTTGCCAATACGGGAGAAACCCCGGCCTGTATCCAGGCTCTGGACACAGCCACGACGTCTGCTGTTAAGGTCGGGGCAAAGCTCCTTACCTGCACAGACAGCCAATGAACCCCGATTATTAATGCAGCCCAGAACTTGGCCACTGGAAGGTGGACAATAATCATAACACCAAAAATATCCCCCTCTCCCTCAAAAAAGAAAAGAAAAGGGACAGTAGCCACTTTTTGCCAGCTTCCCCCTGTGGATCCCCATCGACTGCCACTTATGCAAGATCGGCACTGCCAGATCTCACCTGCATGGACCCAGTACACTCCCAGTAAGGTGCATGTCTGCAAGGTGCTGCCAGGGGTCAAAGAAGCTTCTTGGGACAGGGTCGGAGCCTCCTGTACTGCCCTGCTAGACTGTGTGTGGAGGAAGCTATGGTACATGAGGAAAGAAACCCAAGTGGAATTACTAGACTTGTGATGGCCAACAATTGTCCATGCTGCCTTGGGTTTGGGTGGGAGAGGGAGATGCAGAACTGGGCTGAGAATCACTTTGGTGCAACTGCCTCTGATGCTCATGACTAGTGCATGGGGCGGGGCAGAGGAAGGGCGATGGCTGCTTGGAGAGGAGTGGAAGGAGGACGTGTGCAATACAACAAGGCTTGCAATTCTAGGACTAACCACTGGACACGAATACTGAAGATTACCTGTGACAACTAGCTATCCTTCTACTGTCATTGCTCCTTCCCCCACCTCCTGGTCTGGTTCTTCTTCAGTTTGGGAAGTCGTGGCTATTTGGTGTGATGGCCAGAACTGACTCTCCCACCCCAGTTCCCTGCACAGTGCACAGGGTGACTCAGCTACAGGATGTACAAGGTCTGGAAGATGCCTCTTAGGCACAGACCAGCTCTGCACACAAGTAGCACCTGCCTTCAGACCCTTCAGAAAGCTATTTAATGGTGGTTCATCTCCTTTATTAAACTGAAGGTTCAGTAACTTCTGGGGAAGGAGTAAAAATGGTTAAGAATCTGCAAAAACAGTGAAAAAAATCCCCATAACTTCCTGAATTTTCTCCTCTACAGAGCCTTCATCCTCTGTGAGAGTCTTTCTCCCTGGAGAAGAACTACAGCCCTTCCAGGGTGTCTCAGTGCCCTACCCCAGCGCAGCAAGTGCAGAGGTGACAGACATCCCACCCGTGCTGCTGCTGCAGGTCTCCAGCCCGCGCCAGGAGCACAGGGGCTGGCTGGCCTGGGACCTCAGCACCGAGACGGGGAGGGTGAGGGTACCTGGCTCAGCTTGCTGGATCACACCAAGGTTTTACA